CTAGGGAGAATCACCTATAGAGAAAATGATTAATCAAAAAAAAAAAAAAAAAAAAATCACACGCTCCCAATAAGATTCAAGAAAACCCTCAGCCAATAGCTGTTGCAGAGATAATTGTTCTGAATCTATCAATAAAGCTCAGCTGCCCCTTCATTGACTGCAAACACCAATTTCTTTCACCCAGGATTATAAGTTGGCGTTCGTGGGCTCACTGCTGCCATTACGGTGATAAACAGTTTAAGCCACAACAGGCTCTGACGTGTAGATCAATTCTGGGTCCATAAAGAATCTGCACAAGAGGTTCCAGGACAGGAATTTACAGCCACCAGTTTTTATTCTCTCTCGCTGCAAAAATTACTTCTGTCAAACACTTAGGGGAGTGAGAAAAAATGTAAAAAAATTAATTTTTCATGTACTATGGGAACGGCCCTTTTCAATGCAGAAGCCCAAGATGAATATGTCTCCGCGTTTAAAAAATTACGCTGAGCAGCATGTGGCGCCCGGCGGAAGGGGGACCCGGCCGCTGCGCGGCCTGCAAGCCGCAGACCGCAATTTGAAACCCTGAACTGAGCTGTCTGGGTTTTCTCTGAGGGCAGATGTGGTCTCCTGTTAGCAACGCCAAATTACATTAGACATTTAATTTGAAGCCTCAGGTACTTAAATGTAAAACCTTACAACAGGCATGGTCGTAAAGCAGTGGGGAATGCCAGGGCACGGAATGGATTCTTCCTTTCTTCCCCCCTTAATGTAACCGGAGCCTCCTGTTTTGTGGTTTTGCACACTACAAAGTGATCTATCTCATTAGGAGTTGCTCACAGCGGCTTAACAGACAGAACCCCCCGGGGCACCTTTGCGTCTAGTGGGGAAGACTTTGAAAAGTTCTCTGGAGCCAAAGTCTTAATTTAGTGCGGACAACGGGCCAGAGAAAAATGGGATCCCAATGTTGTTATTATTATTAGGTTTTACAATAAAAGCATATTCACCGATTCATGGGCATTTGAATTCAAAAGCTGCTTAGCGTCTCGCGTCCCTGCTGCTAGCGCAGTGTAAGCTTTTTATGACAGCAACATCCAAAACGAAGACTCAGGGTAAAAAGATAAAAATGATTAAAAAAAAAAAAAGAGGGTGGGGTCTGTATCCACTGCTACTTAAAAGGGAAACGCTCCGCAGAAAGCGCGCCATCCTGTTTGTGTCTTCTGGGATTATTTTCCACGCACGGAAGGGAAGGCTGTGCTCGAGTGGAGGTCTTGAAATCCATTCCCAAGTGCGGTTTCTTGAAGCCAGTCGTCAGATCCCGTGCCCTGGTGTTCATTAAAAATGGCTGGGGTCTGGCCACTTGGCAAAACCGATGAAAGCAGGCGGCCAGCACGCTACCCCCACCGCAGGCAGGCAGGGCTTCTCAACCCCCGGGTTCCCCGATCCACCCAGGGATCGTGGTAACACGCAGCTCCGATCCGGTGCGTCATGGGGTAGCCTGGGACTCTGCCTTGTGCCCCACCCCCAGGGGCTGCCAGGTATCACTTGGTCCAAGACTGGCTTGAGAAGACAGGAAGGGTGTGCTCAAGCTTCCGCTTCAGCCCATGGCGGGCATGCTACCGTGCACGGCGCCAAACCCCACCTGTTCTCAGCGCGCCGAGCCTGAGAATCTTCATTCCCAGCCAGTCCCCCGGGGACGCACCTACACCTGTGTAGGCAGCGCCTCGAGACGCTCCGATGTACAGCCACAACCTGGAAGGAGGCCGCCTGAATCGGCTCCCTGCCCTTGCGGGATGTGACTCCGGGCAGGCACCATGGAGTCTCTCTGTGCCAGCGAGTCCACCAGGAAGGTGGAGCCCACGACAGTGTCTGCTCCCTGAGGGTCGAACGTCGGGGTCCAGAGGAAGGCCTCAGTGAGCAGGGGCTCTTTATTGTTGTTACTGCTCCTGGTGCCCTTTCCACACTAGTGTGATACGGCATTCCATCCACACTTAGACATTACAGGCATGAAGGACGGACGCTGAAAACGGCAGGAACCACACTTCTGTTGTGTTTCTGGATTTTGCTCTTTAAAATGTCAGCTATCCGTGTTAAAGATGCTGGTTAATTCCACAATTCTGGGCTCCCGGCGTGTCTCTGCTCTCCTCCGGCTCTGATCGGCTGCCGCCCCTCGTTCCCGCCCCTCCCCCGGCCTCCTCGCCAAGTCTCTGTCCAAATTGCCTCCGCGAGTGTAACGAGTTCCTCCTGTGGATTTGCACAAGAAAGTCCTATCCAGCTCTTGAAGCACCGCTCAAGTTTGATGCTCTTCGGGAAGTTTCCCTTGATTGACTCCCTGCGCGGTTTCAGCCGGTTGCCTCTCGGCGTCTGCACGCGTGCCCGTGGCGGGCTGAGGCTGGGCCACCGGCCCGGGTGTCTCATCTCCTGTGCCCAGGGTTCAGGCTCTGCCATGTCAGGGACCTAACCAACCTTTCACAAATGGCTATATGAGTGAAGGACGGTGGCCTGAGGGCGTTAATACAGGAGCAATCACTAGGTCAGTTTAAAAACATCCTTTGTCCGCCGGTGACCTCGTTTTCTTAGAGGGACTTGGCGCACACGCACGCGCAGGCTGGTGCGAGCACCATCTGCGGGAAGACACGCCCCACCAGGCCCGGGGACTGGAAATGACGTCCTTCCGGGAAGCGTCGGTGCGCAGGGTGACCAGAGGCAAAGAGCTGTGGGGTGGAGGCAAGGCAGCCAGCGAGTCTGCACCGTGGACCTGGCCGTGCAGAGGGAAGCTTGTATGGAACAGACTTCAGATTTGTGTGGCTGCCTGCAGCTTTTCTACAGAAATACTCGGAGCTGAGGGAAGGCAAAGACCCACGGTGATGCTGCCTGTCCGTCCCCACCTGTAGGCAGGCACAGAGCCTAGAGGGGGCGCCCTAACCAGGCTGTGGGCGTGGCTCAGCAGGCAGCCCAGGGGCGGGGCTTCAGGGGGCGGGGCCGTGGCGGGCTCCTAGCTCCTCCCACCGGCGACGCAGCAGAGCACCTCAGTGGAGAGGGGGCGACTGGATAAACCCCACCCGCCAGCAACACTACCACTCACTGAAAAATCACTGCATTTCAGTGTATCCGATAGTGCAATAATGAAACACAGGGGCTGCCCGCTCCTCCTAAAGTGCGTAACGCTGATAGAAAGGCAGGCGCTCAGGACAGAGAGCCCGGAGCAGGTGCACGCGGTGCGCTTGGAGACTACGCAAAGCGGAGAAGTGCGCCCACTCAGCAGCTGCGGGGGGCGGGCACAGAGGCTGACGGAGGTGGGGGGGGGGGCCTGCCGAGGTCTCCCGGGAGGCAGGTGGGGGAAGGGGCTGCGGCACCGACGTGTGGGATGGGAAGGCCAAGCCAGGCCTCCCGGGGCTGGTGACGGCTGGGAATGCACGCAGGACCCCACCACAAGGGAGGAATTTACGACGACGTCGGACACCCTTCATCGGAGTTCCCAAGGATCTTCGTGATTTCTGACGGAAGGCAGCAGGTCTGGAGTCCCTGGAGAGCGTGGAGGTGACCTCCGCCACCTCCCGCTGCACCTTCTGGGGGGGTGCAGCGCCCCAATCCGGAACTGGGCTGCTGGCACGCGACATGACCTGACTCTGATGAGTCGCTGCCTTCCCGGGCCCTCTGGGCCACCGCCTCCTTGGGAACGGCCCTTCCGGACTCCACGGCTCCTCCTCGCTCGGTTTGGGGACATCTTTCTTTAAGGCTGGGCGTGGGGTCACCAGAAACACGAATGTTGTTTACCGCTGGTGGCAGCTGCTGGTCTGCAGGGAAGGCCTGACGCTGCTCTTTTTAATGAGACCGTTAGGCTGGCGGATGGCGTACAACGGTGGGAGCCCCTTCAAACGCTGTCGCACGGGCCGCAACACAACGCCACAGGCGAGGCTGGACGCTGCAGGACACGTGTTTGCACGTAGGAGGGGGACCCCAAAAACAGATTTATTTATAAAAATGGTGTACTTATTCTTACGTGTTTAAACTTCGGTCACCTTCGAAGTACTCTCTCCCTTTGTTGCATTACACCCATTGAGATGTTTTTTTATGCCACTCAAAACAGTTTTTGAACTTGTCAATTTTGATGCCTTTTAATTCTTCTGCAGTTTTTTTGTTTCACCTTCTCCACATCAGCAAAATGTGTCCCTCTGAGGACTTTTTTCATTCGGGGCAACAGGGCAAGATGGGGTGAATAGGGAGGGTGGGGCACGGGGAACATGCCATTTTTCGGTCAAAAACTGTTGAATACTCAGTGTGGTGTGAGCAGGTGCGCTCGTAAATCACCCGTCATGAAATGGGCAAATACAGTGAAGAGAGTCTTTAAAAAAATTCACTGAAGACGAACGCAGCCTCTCACAACAGCGCCCGCCGGTGCACTGACACAGAGGGGCTCCCAGAACACTCGCCTAGCGGGGCACGCCTGTACTACACGGGGCCTGCCCTCCAGAAGGTAACTCTGGGGTTTTTTGGCTCCTTCCTTGTACACGGCAGGACAAATGTCCACGGCGCACACGTGTCTCCCAAAAAGCTGGCCCCACGAAAAAGGTGGGGAGACCCTCTAAGAACGAACTATGCATTTTCCTTTGACGGAAAACTCCCAAACGATATAAAAGGAGCCCCTGGCAGGGGCAGAGGCCCCAGTGCAGGGAGTGTGATCTGGGCAGAAACCTGCTGTTCTCGCTCAGCTCGGCCGCCGCCCGCTCAAGGGAGCCTGAGTTAGCCACTCGCCCTGTCTGGCTGCGGCCTCAGTTTCCCCATCTGTCCAGCGGGCCACTCCTCCCTGCGCTGAGGAGGAAAGAGTGAGCTGACGTGGGCGACACAGCCCATCACGGACAAACGCTCCACCAATGGAAGGCGAGACGTGCGGGGCGGACGCGCCGCCCCCCGGGCCGCCCGCAGGTGGGCTGCGGAGAGCTCGGGACGCCGCGTCCAGCCCCTGGCCTACGCCCGAGGGCCGTGAGGTGGCCGTGGGTCCGTGGGGCCGCGTCCTCTCTTACCACTGCTGATGGCCGAGTTTGCAATGACCGTAGCCTCGCTCCACTGGTCGGCACTGGAGACGGAGTAGGACCGCTGCTGCATGCCGTCCGGTCGGCTGTTGAAGGAGCCCAGGCTGACGCCGCTGGCCATCTGAGACCCAGATGCACTAGTGACAGTCCCTAGGAACAAACAAGCCAGGTGAACACTCTGTGGACTGCAGACCCCAGAAGCCAGCTCCAGTTAGTCTAGGGGGCCCACGCGCCTGCGCACGGTGGGCCGTGGGGCCCAGAGCGCCGTCGCCCGGCCTTCGTGAGAGTGGGAGTGGGAGTGAGAGTGTCGCCCAAAACAACACACGGGAGGAGCAAGAGGGCGGAGCGAACCTCGGGTGCTTGGCAAACCCTGGTGAAGGGGCCTGTTGCCTCCGACGACCGCCCCCGAGACTGACGTGAGGCACAACCGCCCATCTCTGGAGGGAGTCGGGGTGCAGGCAGAAGACTCCCTTTTAGAAAAGCCAGTGAGGTGAGCCCTACAGGAGCCCCCCGTGCCCCATCAACGACGTGCAAATGATCACTGACTGGGAGTCAGTGTTGGGTCCGGGGGCTGTTCCACAGGGAAAACAGATCTGACAGTCAACACCAACCAGAGTTCCCAGATGCGACGTGGGAAGAGGTGCAGACCCTTCAACCAGCTACGTTTGCCCTTAACCTGGAAAAGACGACGCAGAGGAAAGATCACCTTAGCCGCTTCATGGGGCTCGGGCACAGTGATGGAAAATGACGCCGCCGTGTACTTACTTAGTGACTCGAACCAGCTGCTCGACACCAGAATGAACGGTTACCTGGTCACGCTAATTGTAGACGCACAACCATAATCAAGTGCCTTTCCCTAAAGCTCGGCTGATCCCACCTTGCTGCTGTGAGTTTGTAAGATCTATATGCAGGTCGTCAAGGGTGTTAGTTTCTTTTAAAACTTTCCTCCAACTGTTTAAGTTTAGAACCAATTACGTTTTAAATTGTTCTGAAAATAAACCCTTCGCAACCAAAGGGTGAGGGTCTGGGCCCTCTCTTCCCCATGGGGTGCTGATCTCCCAAACCAGGAATCGAAGCCCCCCCGCCAGGCCCCTTCCAAACTCCCAGCAGGCAGAGGTTCAGGGCACTGCTAGTGTTTGCAGGGTGGGTGAAAGGGAAATAGAAAGACAGAGAATCGGGGGAAGCCAACGCGAGAGGACACGTGCAAGGCACGCCCCATGGCCCAGCCGGGTCCCTTGAGCCCGGGCTGCCCGTGGGGACACCCGCCGCACGGTGGAAAGCCAAGCAGATGATTTTTCTCCCCTGCAGCGCCCACTTGTACCTGACGGGTCGTGACCGAGTCTGGGGTCCGACCACAAACCCTTCTATACCAGCTTCAGGCACGCAGGCCGAAACACCTCAAGAAACACTGAATTCACTGTGATGACGCCAAAATGGCACTCGAGCCCCCAGTGCCATGGTCCTGGGGGTGTGGCTCCCCAAGGACCGGTCCGCAGCCTCCCGGCACAGCCCTTGAAAGGGTAGAGAACCCCCTCAGGGCGCCGACCACCGACTGCTCAAGGCCAAACTCCAGCGAGCGGCTCCCCCGGCCCACCCCGCACTCGGGGCAGCCCAGTCGGCCTGAGCTCTGGCTAAGAGACGAGGAAGTGTTCCAATGGAGGTAGCCGGCAAAGAGCTCATCTTAGGCTGACCAGTTCAGCTCAGGGCCAACTGTGCACTGTAGGAAAAGGAGAAGAGACTCCTTCATGTCCACTCTCATGTGACACCGTGACGATGTTGGTCGCCTCTCTGCGGCCTGTCCACTCGGTTTCACACTTCTAGCTGTTTGTCACGCGGCACTCCACTTTGTGAAAAGTGCAAGTAAGTTACAAGAAAGGAAGTGTTATTTAGACAACCCATTTGCTGTATCTATTGAAAAAAATATGCCACTAAGTGGACCTGTGCAGGTCAAACCCATACTGTTCAAGGTTCATATGTACAGTTTCTACGGAAAGTGGGTCGCTTTTGGACCATCCTGAAGTTGGAAAAGTTTAAGTTGAATCACCGTAAGTTGGGGCCCACATGTACAGCTCTAGTCTGCCTACAGGACTGTAGTCTCCACCTTAAAAGCTGGGCAACACCCCCCCTCCCCCGACCCCGCCAACTGCCCTTCCCTCAACCACCCACCTACCTGGTTCCTGGTCTTCGGTTACTCTGAGTTATAAAATCTCCAAAACAAAACATTTAAGAAAAAGACTCTATGTATTTTTTAGAGTGGGGGGGGGGGAGAAAGTGAGGGAGAGAAACATCAGTGTGAGAGATACATCGATCAGTTACCCCTTGTATGTATTCCAACTGGGACCGAGGCATGTGCCGCAACCGGGAACGGGACCAGCCAGAGACCTTTGGCTTTGCGGGATGATGTGCAGCCCGCTGAGCCACGCTGGTCAGGGCTCAAGTAAGACATTCCCGACTTTCCTTCAGAAGGCCAAACCTCTTTCATATAATGTATTTATTTTAATTTCAGTGAAAACGTTCCTGCACATCAAATAATTCAAGACCCAATAATTGTAACATAAGTTATTCTCTGCGACGATACAGAAATGTATTTGTTTAAATGAAAACAAACTAAAAATTACTAAGACTAAGAAATAGTTTCTGCCTTAAAAATACAGTTTGCGGGGGGGGCCTGTAAATGTAAATACATGAAGACACGCGCCTGCACGCGGGGGCCACCCAGGGACCAGCAGGCGGGCGAGGCACGTGAAGCAGCCGCGCGGGCTTTGGGCGGCCAGGAAGCGTCGTGCCCCGGGATGAGCGGTCCCGGGCCACGGGTCATGCTTCGAGGCGTTTCCACCTTCTTGAGAATCAAAGAAACCAACTACCCCCAAATGCTCCATGGGTATTTCTAGTAACTGTACAGACTTAAAGTCTAACGATACTTTTTTAAGTCCTAATTTCTGATGCTTACTTTTACACACCACCCTTGCCCCCCTGAGCAAAGGCTAATGCATAATTGCGTTTCTGTGCCTGAATGAAGGGCACTAACTCACTGGTCAAGTGATACTGCTTGATTCTGGGGTGTTTTTGGTTTTTGTTTTTAATATAGATGCATCCAGCAATGTGTGCCCTCTGTGATCACGCAGGGCATCTTCACTTTTGAAAATACCTCTAAGCGTATTAGGGAGACGCGAAACTGAAGATCGCTTCATTCTCTAACTACTCCAGGGCCACGCTGCCCCGGGAGCGGCAGTCCATTTCCCGTGGGCAGGCTCCTCTTCCAGGCCGAGGACGTGGGGCTCTGCTTGGTGGGAGAAGCCCACGACTTGGCGCCTTCCTGAGAGCTTAGAGCCTCCCGTCAAGACCACCTGCTGCCGACACGCTGTCAGGGTCCCCACTGAGCTCCGGGCAGCAGCCACCCCGGACCAGGCGTCTAGAACCCACAAGGCCGTCAACAGTCTACAAGGACATGAAGTGCTGGGGCGGCTGTACTGCCTCACACTTGAGTGGCAAGACGCGTGTTAGCGAAGGCCTGCGCTCTTGCTCCCCAGCCGTTAGAATCGCAGTTGAGTGCAAGGTGGCCGGCGGGACTGCAGTCACAGGCCAGCAGGGCTGCAGGGCGGGGCAGCAGCCCAAGTCCACGGAGTCCACGGCCCGGGGCTCGCCCAGGAGAGGGAGACTCCAGTCCTCCCCTGGCTGGTGACCACCTGCGCAGGCAGCTGTTTTGCTCCTGAATCTCCGAGGTGTGGCTGAGACGTGAACTGTGAAGCTGCGGCCTACACCGTGGGGAGGGATTCTTGGCACAGCCAGGAGCCGGGAGCTGCCATCTTTGTGGGCGCGTCCATCTGTCTGTCTATCCCCAGAGGGAAGGGACTCTGGAAGCCTGATCCGAAGGTCCCCTTTCCAGGACCAGGGGAGGCAGGTCTCACAAGTGGTTCTAACTCACGGCCAGGGTCAACAGGCACGGGGACCTCGGAGGAAGCCCACGGGACACCTGCCTCCCCCAGGGGCGAGCACTGGGCTGCGGTGAGGGTGCAGGGGAAGGCCTTCCACGCTCCACTTCCGGCCACCCCCCTGCCCCGGCCTTCCACCCTGCCGCGCCCCGACAGCCGATCACGTCCACGTGGCTGAGAGATGAGACCCGGAGCTGGGAGACAGAGCCGCGGGTCTCACATTTCACCACGTCCTTGGGCTGGGCACTGGCGCCCTTTTCTTCCGACGATCTGTCGGGACTGTCTGCACAGTGAACTGACTCAGCTGACAGGCAACATTATCTTCCACAGGAGGGCGATCTGCTCCTCATTGGGATAATCCCATCACCTCCCTGGACCCAGGCTGGGCGGGCTCGCTCTGTCCCGTGATCAGATCAGGGTCTGCTGGTCGTGGCAGCCTCTCCCGAGTGTGCTTGTGGCCGCCGGCGCCCAGGGAGCTGGTGCAGGGCAGTGCTGACCCTCCAACCCTTACTTCCACAGCAAGCAGCTGTCACGTGTCCTGACCTCGCAGCCTCGGTGCTGGGACACCAGCACACTAGCTTCCCTGCAAGGAGGGCGAGCAGGCCCGCCCCACCGGGCGGGCACCACGAAGGCGACAGGGGCTCTGCCCTCAGCGCAGCTGCCACCCAGTCCAGTAGAAAGCATCAGACGAGCTGGCACTGGCCGACACGCGAGGTGAGGAACGCCGCGGGGCTGTGAGAAGGGGTGAGGGACGGGGGGTCCACGCCCACGGGGCGGCTCCGGGGGCCCCTGCGCATTTATTTCAGACTTGGAAACTGACCCGTCTCTACAAAGGGCAGTGTGGAAAAAGGGGCATCACGTTATGCCCAGGACACCCACCTGCTCCTCCGACTGGCTCGCCGGATGGGGCGCCTCTGTAGAACAACGCATTGCGTTTCCCTGTCTGTCTCATCCTGTTTTTCCTTCACATCCTCCAAACTAAAACTATACAGACAGGCGCAGAAACGCCCACCAGAGGACGCGGGCGAGAACGTGCATAGTGGCACGTGACGGCGGAGGTGTCCACCCACCCTGGCGCCTCGGGGCGGAGCCCCACAGCAGATGCTGCACACCAGCAAGACCCGGCGAGCTACCGGCGCGGGCCACGCAGTGCGGCCACCGCACGGAGCCGCGTGGAGCGCAGAACCAGCTGTTAGGGGTCCCAGGTCAATGGGCGCA